GTCTGTCCGGGAGCTGGCTGCGTGGGCTCACTCCCCGGGGCCGTGTGCCCTAGCCAGTGGGCGTGTCGGGGACTGGCCTGGGGGGCGGTGCAGGGAGCGAGTGGGCTCTGAGCACCCAGGGCCAAGGGCTTGGAAGCCACCCCACCAGCCTCAGAAACCTGGCTGGACTGCAGGACGGGAGCTCTGCACCAGCTGTCCCTTCAGGAGGCAGGTCTCGGGGCCGCCTGCAGGGGGCAGTGTCCGCCACCGCAAGAGGGAACAGGGAGGAGGCGGTCACGTCCTGTGGCTTCAGGGGCGAGGGTGGGAGGGTTCTGCAGCGACCACCCCGGCACAGAGGGGGGTGTGGGGCTGGGGTGCTCACGGGACAGGGTGAGAGCCTTGTTCTCTAAAGCAGCTGGGACCGCACACACCAGGGGACACGGGTGTTTGAAATGCAGGTAACAGTCACGTGCCATGGGATGTTCGAGTTTTCAAAACTCAAAACATTACAAATGTAAAAGCAGACAGGCTGGAGTCCCTACCCCCAGAGACAGGTCAGGCCCCCCAACACACACACACACAGCACCTGTCCCCGCCCACCTCGTGCTGGGGCTGCACTTGGTGGGGTTCCCGCCCGCCCCGCTCCAGTGGCCAATCTATTACAATGGACTCGGTTTGAGGCCGGGCCTGGACGGGAGGCCGGAGCCAGGGGCCCACGGAACTGGGGCCTTGCAACTTACACTTCCCTGGCACGGCCCACACCCACAGGAGGGGTTCCTGGGGCCCCCTGTGTCCCTGGCCTGGAACCTGGGCTGCCGGCCGCGGAGCCCGAGAACACAAGGGGACCAGGACCCTAAGGACACGCAGCCAGTCCTGCACCGGGGACCGGAGAGGAGCAGCCCAGCTGACCCGGGCCGGGAGGGGCGGGACCCTGCTGTGGACCAAACTCAGCCTCGGCCAGGCGCCTGCCCTGAGGCCTCTTCTCCCCCGCTCCCCCGCCGGGCCTCAGTTTCCTCATCTGTATAGTGGGTGGTGCGTCACCCTAACCCTCCTAGTAACTCTCTGTGCTCCACCAGGCCGGGCTGGGCTTCCGGTGAATGGCCAGCCTGTGGGAGCGGGCTCTGGGTCTAGGGTCCCGGGTCCGAGTTCCAGGGGCCAGGGCCCACCACGGAGGCCCCTTGACAGCCAGAGGGAAACCCCGTGTCCTCCCACGCCATGCTCTGCCGGGTGAGTTAGAAAGTGTGAAGGGCGCCGTGCACAACAGATGTGCGCTGTGGCGGGAAGAAAAGGGCGAGAGCAGGTCTGAGTCCTGACCCCGGGAGCGGGGGGCACATCCCCCCATGGTCGCCCCCTTGCTCCCCATGCGGGACGGCCAGCCACACTGCTGGCCACGGAGCCCACGTGATGAGGACACGGCTGCTCGGGGGGAAGGGCTGAAGTGCAACCACATTCTGATTGGACGACTTGCCTCCGCTGCAACGACTCACTGACTCACAGTGAGACGCGAACCTGGTTCCGATGGAGGGGGCCCGGCCACGTGGGCCCCGGGACAGGATCGCCACCCAGCCCCCCCCCAGCCGGGAGCCCGCGGGACCCACCTGCTCCGTTGGCGACCGGGGCCTGGCTCCTCGGAGGCTGCTGAGCCGCCTGCTCCTCGGTCCTTGAAGAGGAAGAAGGGGTGAGGCCTCTATTGTCCAGACCAGGCGGGCGTTGGAGCCGGGCGGCCCCGCTCAGAGGGG